AAAAAAACAAACAAACAAAAAAGAATATGGTGAACCCCTCCCCGCTTCCCTCTTTTATTTAAGAAATATAGAAGGATAAGAGTATATCAACTTTTTAAGGTATCTTCATTACAGAGGTTTGTACTAGGCATGACTGTCAGTGCTTTCTAATTTGTCCCAGGGTATATACATGTGTGTATACTAGACTTAAAGTACTTGGAGGAAAGACGTTCCAAAAAGAACCCTCTTACCATTATAATCAGCATATATAAGCTATATTTATTTTATTATATTAATTACCTGTTTTGAGAGCTTTTTAACAGTTTTTCTCTTTATCTTTAGGCTTGTGTAGTAAAACGTGAATTTAAAAAGGCAGAACAGTTAATTAAACATGCAGTGTATTTGGCACGGTAGGTAATTTCATAAAAATACTATTTCAGATGGTCTCTTTCTACTTTATGTCCTAATCTTTTTTGTTTTGTTTTTTAAATAGGGATCATTTTGGATCAAAACACCCAAAATATTCTGATACACTGTTAGATTATGGGTTCTACTTACTTAATGTAGATAATATATGTCAGTCTGTTGCAATTTATCAGGTATGTTAAAGGTTACACTTTTTATCTTTCAACCTAAATTGACTTGCTGACTGTATTTGGTTGTAATGTATAAAGCACTTTCTAAAGATAACTAAGTAAAAGGTACCATTCTTGGTAACTAAGTAATGGCTAGAAAGTTTAAAAGTTAATGTCTTAGAAATTAAAGAGAATTACCTAGTAAAAGAGTTATTGGATTATAGCCTCATATTTAGGAGTACGTTTTCCATTTTATATTTACTTGTCTTTTTAGGTGATTTAACAGTTGTCTTATAGCTGCATTTGTAGCAGCAAGAAGAGCTAATAGCATTCGATTTAGGCCATAACTCAGTCATTCCCAGGTAAATGATGAAGTATGCTTTTGCACTGGAAGTTCACATCTGAAGAAGGATATAGAGAAATACATCATTGTGATTCCCAAGACAGGAATGATTTTTATCATTTTATCCTTTTAAGTCAGACAGTCTTCAGAAAATCACGCCTTCTAGTTGACTTTTACCTTCTATTGTGATTTAAATACAGCAGGACTTTCTTGTGTCAAAACTTAGGAGGTTGAATATATAGAATATATATTTAAAATATTTGCATGTTTAACTGGGTAGTGTTTTCTAAAGATTTATAGTATTATCACATATTTTCATGACTGTTTCAGGCAGCCCTTGATATTCGGCAGTCAGTATTTGGTGGCAAAAATATCCATGTAGCAACGGCTCATGAAGACTTGGCTTATTCTTCGTATGTTCACCAGTATAGTTCTGGGAAATTTGACAATGCACTGTAAGTTCCTTAGTCCTTTTCAGTGAAAGATTAAGTGTTATGGGTGTTTGCCCCCCAGTACAGTTATATTTAATGTTACTTATGGATTAATTTGTCTCTCTGGAGCTTTAATAGGGTGCCTAGAATGTTTTCAAAGTCATTTAAAATCATACCAATTCATAATCCATTTATTTAGACTTTATCTAGTTTAATATTGAGACTTCTATGTCTTTACGTAGATTATAACTTATCTTTTTAGAAATTCCTTTTATTTTTCTTTGGGTAGTATAATAGCTTTGGCTACATATTAATTAGATCAGTTCCTGAAAACTCAAGACATAGAAATGCTGAATAAAATACAAACCATCTTTTTAAATGCAAGAGAAGGAAGGAAAATCCAAAATGGACACCAAAATCTAAAAGGCTAGGTCTGATCTATGGTTCATGCTTAGGAATAGTGGGAAGGCTTAGGAGTTTCTGAAATCTTGATTGAACAACCATCGTGGGATTTTGGAGACAAGACTTTTAGATCAAGGCTACACCCTTAGGGAAGAAACATATTTGCCCGCCAGAAAAGGCATGACAAAAAACTTGTCCATCTCTGGTTGGGCTCCCAGTTAAAAGGAAAAGGTGCCTCACAGGGGAATTTGTAACTACAAACCTGTCCCATGCTTGAGTTTGGTGATCATGTGTGCAAGAACCCCAAAACTGAGAAAAACATTAGAAAGCACTTTGGGGCTGCAGTTCTCCTGAGATGTCTTGTGGAAGAAAATATAAAACTCTTGGGAGTTATTAACCCTCAACTCAAACCATACAGAATTCCCAAAGAGATAGCTGTGCCTAAATGAACTGACAATGAGAAATTAAAAAACAAGTAAGGAAACATTTCCACTGTCAATGACTGCAGTGTAATTAACAGTATTAAAATCCTAAAATTTCAGTTAACAGAACTTGTTTGGCTGGGCTGAAGATATAAATAATCTTACATAATTAAAGACATAAAAAGGGTTAAGAAACTACAGCTATTAAGTTTTATTGAAACATAGCCATGTTCATTGATTCATATATTTATCTATGGCTGCTTTCCACTACAACAGCAAAGTTGATTAGTTGTCACACTCTATGACCAAAAAAGCTAAAATAGTTACTGTCTGGCCATTTAGAGAAAAAGTTTCCCAACCCTGATACAAAAGAAAGAGTAATATTTTGAAGAGAGAAAAAGAGCAAAAAAAGGCATATTTGAAAATTAAATAACTGATACATGTTACAGCATGGAAGAACCTTGAAATTATTATGCTAAGTGAAAACCAGTCACAAAGGACTGCATATTGGATGATTCATATGAAATGTACAGAATAGGCAGATCTGTGGAGAGTAAATTGGTCATTGCCTAGGACCAGTGGGCTAGAAGGAAATGTATAGTGATTTCTAATGGGTACAAGGTTTTTTACAGGATGATGAATAAGTATGGATTGTGGTAATGGGTGTACAACTCTGAATTTAAAAAACTACTGAACTGTATAGTTTTAAATGGTAAATTTTATGATAAGTGAATGTTATCTTAAAGCTGTTATAAAAATATAAAGCAAATAGAATAGCTAGAAATAGAAAGTAGTCATTGGAAGACCCGGTGGGCAAGTTAAACAGCAGATTGTATGCAACTAAAGAGAAAATTAGTGAATTGGAAGATAGATCTGAATAAGGAAAAATAAAGAGGCTTATAGATATTTTTAAGTTACAGATAGACAACAAATCAATCTTTGGGGGCAGATGGGCCATAAATAAAATAACCAAACATGACAGCTGAGAATGCATGCTGTGAATAAGGGTAAAGTAGGATAAAAGTTTAGAGAGTGAGGGTGGTTTGTTTTGTTTTGTTTTTTTAAGGACTTTTATGTAGACTAAGGCGCTCTGGTGGCATGGTGGGTAAAGCATTTGGCTGCTAATTAGAGGATGAGCAATTCAAAACCAACCAGCTGCTCCACAGGAGGAAGATAAGGCAATCTGCTACTGTAAAGATTTAAAGCCTGGGACACCCAGTGAGGATCCCTGCGAGTCAGAATCAGCTTAATGGCAGTAGTTTTTATGTAGACTAGTCTGGAAAGATCTATTCATGAAGGATTGAGTTTGTGTAGCTGTTGAGGAAAAGAGCATTCCAGAGAGAGGGTAAAACAAATACAGGGCTTCTGAAGTGAAGCATGCTTTGCATGTTCATGAAACTTCTAGGCTTGTTACTAAAAAGGAGAAAGAGTAGTTAGTCTGAGTGTGGGGCGAAATGAAGTCATAGAGATAGAGTAAGAGATACATGTTGAGCTTTATAGGCTGTAATAAAGATTTCACATTTTATTCTGAGGGAGAGGAGAAACCATTGGAGTTAGAGAATCTAAGTTTTAAGAGGATAACTCTTTCCTAATAATGATAGGTGTTAGATGAAATAAAGGCAATTAGAGGTTATTACAATGATCCAAGTGAGAGATCCAGAGAGAATTTGGTAATCTGGCTATATTTTGAAGGCACAGTTGACAGGATTTGCTAATGGCTTTAAATGAGAGATGGATCACTAGAGGCCTGAGTAACAGGAAGAATGGAGCTGCTCTTTTTCTTTTCTTGTAGGGGTAAAGTATCACACTGTCTCTATAGGTCCAATTTAACAAAAGTTTGGTCTACAATAGATTGGAAACTAAAAAACAAAACAAATCTTTGCTACAGATAGTTTTAGTATTAGGAGGATGTTTTACCATTATTATAGATTGTGATTTTTCAAAATACTTAAAATCATTTGTAACGAAAAAGAAATGCCAGAATGTATCTTATCTGTATTGCAGATTTCATGCAGAGAGAGCTATTGGTATCATTACCCACATCCTACCTGAAGATCATCTTCTTTTGGCCTCTTCAAAGAGGGTGAAAGGTACCCTTTGTCATCCATCTAGTCTCAGATAATTTTAAAAACTGATAATATATGGTAGAAAATAGGGGTATTTATTTCCTCTGATGGTAGTAGCATAGGTTGGACTGTTTATATTTCTAAAATGACCAATGCATTGATTTAAAGTATTTGCCTGCAACTCTAATTAAGGGTTTCTATTTGAAAGATCATTCACTTATCTCAGTTAACATTATTGTTGATAATCCAGAATTTCTTCTCTTTCTTTTTTTTTTTTTGGTCTCTCCTTTCATTCCTTCATTCATTCATTTTGTGGTGGGAGGTGTGGAATAAATGATTTCACAGTTAACATGGATAGCAAACTGAAGGTGGGTTTTTCACATAATGTCAGGTTCCATTTAATGTTACAGGGCTCTTGCCAAATGCTACTTTCTTTTCTTTTAACCACCAAGGTCCTATCATTTAAGGCATTTATTTTGTTAACATGAGTAAGTTTTTGTTTTCTTCTCTGGGTTTGCATTTTTTTTAAAAGTTGCACAAGTAATGCATGATTAACGTCAAAAATTAAAAGTTAGATAGAAAATAAAAAATTAAGACACCCAAAATCCCACCAATCAGAATCAACATTTTGTTGAATAGCCTTTAGACTTTTCTTTCTTCAATAGATAATAAAATGAGAAATGTTCTGTTTTGTTTCATAATCAACTTTTGTCACTTAATACATCAAGAACATGTTTCATTTTAATAAATGTAGACATACACCCTTTTTTCTAGTGTATTTAATCTCACCCCTATTATTGGAAATTTATGTTGTTTTCAACCTTTCGTTCTTTTAAAAAATGCTAAATCTGTTTTACTTACCTTTGTGTGCATGCATGTACAATTTTCCTAGAAATGGAATTACTTGGTAAAAGATTATATATACTTTGAAGGCTTTAAGTGGAATTCAAAGCCCTGAATGTGACTTTGAAATTGAAGTGTCTTGCCTGATTTGGTTGATCAAGTGAGTAGGAGGAAACCAGTTCTTTCAGTTGTGTTTGGTTAAAGGTTATGTTTTACAAAATGTGGTTTCAAAACTTTAATAATTAGTATTATTACTAACTAAGCCTTGACACAGTTTTATAACTTAAAAATTTGCCTTTTCCTTCTTTATTTACTTAAAAAAAAATCTTACCAGCAAACGTATAGCAATCTAATAAAATACAAACCAATTCTACAAAATAGTAGGCCATATATATATATGGATCCTGGGTGGTAAAGTGGTTAATGTAAGCATTTGGCTGCTAACTGGAAAGTCAGTGGTTTGAAGCTTCTCGAAGGAAAGATGTGGCAACCAGCTTCTGTAAAGATTTACAGCCTTGGAAACCCTATGATGTCGTTCTGCACTGCCCTATAGGGTCACTTTGAGTCAGAATCGACTTGATGGCAGTGGGTTTGTTTTTTTGGCTAATAAGCTGTGTACCTTTGTATTACTATTATTTGAATTCATTATACTGTGCAAAATAGAATGACCTCCAAAAGTATATGTTAAAGTGAAACACCTTCATCTTGACCACTTTTAAACTATATTTGCATATAAAAATGTATTCAGTAAACACTTGTAGAATTTAATTTTAAATTATGCTTGGATTTGCCTTTGGTAGATGTGGTATTAAAGTGCACTAATGCTGTTGCTTTCTTTATTCAGCACTTATTTTAGAAGAGATAGCCATTGACTGTCATAATAAAGAAACAGAACAAAGGCTGCTTCAAGAAGCTCATGATTTGCACCTATCTTCACTCCAACTAGCTAAAAAAGCTTTTGGGGAATTTAATGTACAGACTGCAAAACACTATGGAAACCTTGGAAGACTTTACCAGTCCATGAGAAAATTTAAGGTAGAAACAAACATCTTTTACAACATGTTCCTCTATGTATGGAATAACTTACACCTTCATTATACTTCCACCTCTTGTCTATCAGTTTCTTGTACTGTGGTGGCTTATATGTTGAAGTGAGGCTAGAAGCTATGCCACCAGTACTTCGATTACTAGCAGGGTCATCCATGACAGGTTTCAGTGGAGCTTCCAGACTGAGACACATTGGGAAGAAGGATGAAGCCATCTACTTCTGGATAATATTGGCCACTGGAAATCTTTGGAATTGTAGTGAAACTGGTATATTACTGGCAAAATGTGTGAATAGCAGTGAAACATTGTCTTATATAATACTGGAGGATGAGCCGCTCAGGTTGGAAGGCCCTCAAACTGTGACGGGGTATAAGAACTACCTTCTCAAAGTAGAGTCAGCCTTAATGATGTGTATGGAGTAAAGCTTTCCAGACCTTCATTTGCTGAAGGGACACGACTCAAAATGAGAAGAAACAGCTGCAAACATTCATTAATAGTTGGAACGTGTAGTGCATGAAGTATGAATCTAGTTGTCAAAACTGAAACGGAATACATAAAGATCTATATCCTAATCATTAGTGAGCCGAAAGGGACTGGTATTGGCCATTTTGAATCAGACAGTCATATGGTCTACTGTACTGGGAATGATACATTGAAGAGGAATGATGTCACATTCATTATCAAAAAGAACCTGTCAAGATCTACCTTGAAATACAGTGCTGTCAGTAATAAGATAATATACATATGCCTACAAGGAAAACCAGTTAGTACTACTGTCACTGAAATTTACTCACCAACCACCAAAGCAAAAGATGAAGAAATTAAAGAATTTTTACCAACTTCTGAAGTCTGAAATTAACCAGACATGCAATCAGGATGTATTGATAATTACTGGTGATTGGAATGAGAATGTTGGAAACAAAGAAGCAGAGTTGATAGGTAGTTGGGAAAATGTGGCCTTGGTGATAGAGATGATACTGTGTAGATCACATGATAGAATTTTGCAGGACCAATAACTTACTCGTTGCAAATACCTTTTTTTCCAAAAAAAATATAGTATAGCTACTATACCCATGGACCTCACCAAATAGAATGCACAGGAAGCAAATTGACTACATCTGTGGAAAGAGGTGATGAAGAAGCTAATTATCAGTCAGAACAAGGCCAGGAGCTGACTGTGGAGGAGACCATCAGTTAGTTGCTCATATGCAAGTTCAAATTGAAGCTAAAGAAAATTCAAACAAGTCCATGAGACCTTGATTATATCCCATCTGAATTTAGAGACGTCTTAAGACTAGATTTGACACGTAGAACACCAGCTACCGAAGACCAGACCAGTTGTGGGATGACATCAAGAACATCATACATGAAGAAAGCAAAAGGTCATTGAAAAGACGGAAAAGGAAGAAAAGACCAAAATGGATGTCAAAAGACACTGTGAAACTTGCTCTTGAACAGAGAGTAAGTGAAGCAAAGGGAAGAAACGATGAAACAAAAGAGCTGCACAGAAGATTGGAAAGGGGGGCTTGAGAAGACAGAATAAAGTATTAAAATGAAATGTGTAAAGACCTGGAATTAGAAAACCAAAAGGGAGGAAAACACTCAGCATTTCTCAAGCTCAAAGAACTGAAGAAAAAATTCAAGCCTCAAGTTGTGATATTGAAGGATTCTGTAGGCAAAATATGAAATGATTCAGGAAGTAACAAAAGAAGATTGAAGAAATACATAGTCACTGTATGAAAATAATTGTTGACATTCACCCATTTTAGAAGGTAGCATATGATCAAGAACCAATGGTATTGAAGGGAAAAGTCCAAGCTGGACTGAAGGAGTTGGTAAAAATAAAAACAAGGCTCCAGAAAGTAATGGAATACCCACTGAGATGTTTGAACAAACAGATGGAGCACTGGAGGCGCTTAGTCGTTTATGCCAAGAAACTTAAAAGACAGCTATCTAGCCAACCAACTTGAAGAGATTGATATTGGTGCCCATTCCAAAGAAAGGTGATCCCACAGAATGTGGAGATTATCAAAGAATATCATTAATAACACTTGAAAGTAAAATTTTGCTGAAGATAATTCAAAAACGGTTACAGCAGTATATTGACAGGGAACTTCCAGAAATGCAAGCTGGATTCAGAAGAGGATGTAATGAGGGATATTGTTGCTGACATCAGATGGATCTTGGCTGAAAGCACAGATTATCAGAAAAATGTTTACCTTTATTTCATTAAGTATGCAAAGGTATTTGACTGTGTGGCTCATAACAAATTATGGACAACATTGTGAAGAATGGGAATTCCAGAACACTTCGTTTTGTTCATGAGAAACCTGCACATAGACCAAGAGGCTGTCTTTTGACCAAAACAAGGGGATAGTGCATGGTTCAAAATCAGGAATGGCATGTGTCAGGCTTGTATCCTTTCACCATTCTTATTCAGTCTCTTTGCTGAGAAAATAATAAGAGATTCTGGACTACATGAAAAAGAAAGTGGCATCAGGATTGGAGGAAGACTCATTAATAAAAATGATAAGCAGATGGCACAGCCTTTCTTGCTGAAAATGAAGATGACTTGAAGATCAAAGACTACATTCTTCAGTGTAGATTAAAGTTCACCATAAAAAAAAAAAAAATCTTCACAACTGGACCAGTAAGCAACATCATGATACATGGAGATAAGATTGAAGTTCTCAAAGATTTCATTTTACTTGGATCCACAGTCAGTAGCCATGGAAACAACAGTCAAGAAATCAGACATCATATCTGCTGCAAGGAACCTCTTTTGAGTGTTAAGAGCAAAGGTGTCACTTTGAAGACTAAGATACACCTAACCCAAGCTATGGTGTTTTAATTGCCTCATATGCATGTTAAAGCTGGACAATGAATAAAGAAAATCAAAGAATTGATGCCTTTGAATTGTGTTGTTGGTGAAAAATACTGAAAACACCATGGACTGCCAGAAGAACGAAGAAATTTGTCCTGGAAGACGTGCAGCTGGAATGTTCATTAGAAGTGAGAATGGCCAGACTTTGTCTCACCTTCTTTGGTCATGTTGTCAGAAGGGACCAGTCCCTGGAGGATATCATGCTTCAGATGGATTGACACAGTGGCTGCACCAGAGGGCTCCAGCGTAGCAAAGATTGTAAAGATGGTACAAGACGAGGCAGGGTTTTATTCTGTTGGATGTAGGGTTGCTGTTCTGGTTACCTAGTGCCGCTCTGACAAGAATATGCCACAAATGGGATGGCCTTAACAAACAGTTTATTCTTACAATTTGGAGGCTTTAAGTCCAAGTTCAAAGTGCCAAGCGCTAGGGGCTGGGTAGAAAGCCCCTCAACCTTGAGGTCCAGCTCTGCCTCCTGCTCCCAGCCCACTGGAGGCAGAGGAATTTCTTCACTTAAACAGCTGCTGGCTGCTGAGGCTGAGAAGCCCAAGGTTGACAAGTAAAAAGGCACAGTCCTGATGTTACCAATCCACATAGCAGGCCATTAACTTAAGTCCACTGTAAGTCCCAAGGTCGGCAGAGCATAGCAGGCTGCTGAGCAACGATATGGCCACGTGCAGGGTCCAAGCGTGCCAAAGGCTAGAGAGTATTCGCAAAGCTTCTCCTTATATACAGGAAGCAGATCACATACCCAAAGGCAGCTACCCAGCTGCTCATGGTAGATACCACCATGGAGCTGATTGCCAGTCTCCTCATGGGGTTTAACTACCACCAGCTGCCCAGCCACTCGACCAGGCCTAACCAAGTTGGCATACAGACATAACCATCACAGTTGCTATGAGTCAGAATTGACTTGACAGCACCTAAAGTCATCATTATACTTATTCTTTATTCATTATTCTTATTCCATAGGAAAACTGAGAAAACAAGTATATAAAGTAACACATTAAAATTATAAATAAAATTTTTCTATTTTAGGGCCATGGAAATACAGGACAAAAATAACGTCAAACCATAAAGGTTAATACAGTTGCGTACAATTGAGGCTATGCTTCAAAAATAGCTCTTGGCTAGGTTAAATACATACAGCACTTACCAGAATGCACAGCACAGGGTAGGTTTGCGAGAAGGATTAGATGTTGCTGGTATTACTAATTATAGTTTAATTATACTTACTTGAGTTCTCTTACTAATTATAGTTTAATTATACTTATTTTAGTTCTCTTTTAAATTCTGAGTTAGAAATTCTTAACATTGTCCATTTTAGGGTCACAGTAAGGAAAGCTTGAGATTTACTGCCTAAGACAATTTGTTTTTACCTGAAAAATCAATCCAAATATTTATCAGTTAGCTTGAGTTTAATTTGTTGGATTGAAAATGGTCAAAAATTTCCAAAAGTAAAACATGCTTCTATATTGATTAGTCTATTAAGGAGTTTCTTAGTAAAAGTCAATTAAATTATGGAATGTGTTATCTAAAAGAAGTCACTTTTATTTTAAAATGTCATAATGATAATTTATTTTAACAATAATTTGTTACCAGGACAAATTCCAGGAGCCAATAATGCTTCCCTTAGATAACTTTTAGAATAATATAGATACATTCTTTGATCTGTGGCACCCATACAATGTCTTTGGCTTTTGTAAGAATCTTACTCATTGGGTAAGAAGTGTTGAGATGAGAACCAGTATGATCCAATGATTAATGTGGCTTACTGTGTTTCAGGAAGCTGAAGAAATGCACATCAAAGCAATTCAGATTAAAGAGCAACTTCTTGGTCAAGAAGATTATGAAGTAGCCCTTTCAGTGGGACATCTGGCTTCTTTGTATAATTATGACATGAATCAATATGAAAATGCTGAGAAACTTTATTTGCGATCTATAGCAATTGGTATGTTACCTTTAAATTTTCTTTAGTCACTTGGTTAGAGATCAGTATGTCAACTTATAATATGTTATATAAGGAAATGTTACTGCTAAGATTTAAATATGTTTAGAGCTACTAAGAGTAGGAACCACCCAAAAATCATCTGGAGAATTTTGTTAAAGGTGATTTTCCTTCTTGAAGCCAGTGCAAAGAGGTGTGGCAGTAGCATTAGTAGCATGTCAAGTATAGTCAAAAGTAGTTATTTTAAATTCTGTTCGTTTACTACCTTCACTGTTCCCACCCACACATACCTTAACGTCATAGGTCAAGTTTGCATGCTTTTGAACATGAAATCATGCAAGGCATAGTTTTATGTGTCTGGCTATTTTTGGTGAACATTAATTGTGCAGTACATCTGTATTGTTAGATACTTGATTTCCAGTGTTAACAATATTTGATTAATATGTCATCATTTATTTATCCATTCTTTTGTTTAAATAAGATGGTGTGAATAGTTTTGAGCATATCTTTTTCTGTGAGTATGCAAGCATTTCTTTCGGGCATATTGTAAAGAATAAACTTGCTGGGTCATGTTATTGTTGTTGTTAGATGCTATCAAGTCGATTTTTGACTCATCCTGACCCCACCTGATAGACTAGAACTTCCCCATAAGGTTTTCTAGGGTGTAATCTTCATGGGAGCAGATCGCCAGGCCTTTCTTCATGGTGCCACTGAGTAGGTTCACCCTGAACCACAGCTCCCTTTATTGGAAGATACCTAAGAGTAAAGCAAAGTGGAAGCAGCTCCAACAGTTTTTAACAAATGCATATGCACAAGGTTATTCACTGAAGCATAAGCAAAGTACAAGTGACTGTACTATTCCTGCCCTTGGGTAAGAAAGAAAAGAGGAAAATATTTGTATATCTACTCGTGTGTGCAAAATGATATACAGAAAGAATAAACTTGGAAACTGATGACATTGGTTATGCATCGAGGCTGGATGAGAACTCAGTAGAAGGAATTTGGGGAAATGAGGCTTGTCTCAGCATACCTGTTTATATAGTTTTGGCTTTCTAGAACCATTTCACCTCCTGAAAAAAAATTAAAATGGGGAGGACTCATAATATAAACATAAATAAATGGGCCTAATTGTCTTTCAAATGAATAACATAACCACACTAAGGTGGTGGGGAGAATAACACAATTAACTTTCAAACACAATATTTGAACAAAGATAACTGTAAACAAATACGAAACTCTAGGTGATAGGTTTATTTTTCACAGTGGTATGCGTTAAGTCCTTCAGACCTTGCTGTTTTATAATCCTGTTCTGTTAAGGCCAGCTGCTTTAACGTCGTAGGTCAAGTTTGCCTAAAACTAAAAGTCACAAGGATAATGTGAGGGTGGGACTGGGGAGAAAAGGAGTACTGGTTTAAAAATTGTGTCTGTGTCTTTCAAGGGAACAATACCAAGCCATCCTGCCTATAGAATTGAACTTATGTTCATCTTATAGAAACCACTTGTTATTTCTTTATCTGAGCCCTCTTTTTTGGTATTTTCAGGGAAGAAACTTTTTGGTGAAGGCTACAGTGGACTAGAGTATGATTACCGAGGTCTCATTAAACTTTACAACTCCATTGGAAATTATGAGAAAGTATTTGAATATCACAATGTTCTGTCTAACTGGAACCGGTTACGAGATCGGCAGTATTCAGTGACCGATGCTCTTGAAGATGTCAACACCAGCCCCCAGTCCACCGAAGAAGTGGTGCAGTCCTTCCTGATTTCTCACAATGTCGAGGGACCGAGCTGCTGAGGGGGGACCTCAGTTAACCAATTTACCTTTTCCCAGATTCCAGGGAATTCATACTGTGAAATCAAAACCATGTTGTTTTGGGGGGCTGGAATTTGCATTGAAACACTGGTCCAGTCCACTGAAGACCCTATTTGGGTGATCCCTATCTTGCAGAGTGTCTGTAGGAATAAGCATATATTCAATTATATTCAGCATGTACCGCATGTATAAGTAGTCTGGTCCACATTTTCAACCTAGTAGAACATACAACAGAAAAAAAAAAAATTTCTTTTTTAAAATAAATCATTTTACAGAAAGCCTGAAAGAAAAATAGAACCCCTAAATAAAACTATTTAAGAGTTTAAAAGAGTTGCATTCTTATTATGTAAGGATGATTTTAACAACTTTTTAACATAATTCTTCCATGTGGAGGTATTCAATACTGTATTGTAAAGAAATTTTAAGGGGAAAATCTTTATATGCAGTATAGAAATGTTAATACAAGTACTAATAAAAGAGGGACATCCTGACTTAAGTTTGGCTACCTTACTCAAAGAAGTGGACACAGCCACTTCAGAGATACTATAAAAGAAGGACCATCAGATTCATCTGAACTGGACCAGTGTTAATCTGTAAGATCTGATAGGCCAGCAGTTTTAACTTTTTTTGTGGGGGGGTTGGGGTGGGGTGGGGCGGGGCGGGGTGGGGCGGGTACAACAATGCAAGATGCTCTGATAGTGTTTACTAACAGGACCAGGAGGAGCTAAAAAGGACCAGCCTGATGTAGGATGCAGTTATTTGGACCAGAGGCTGTAGATTATTATTTTAGCCCTTGCATATGCTTTTTCCAGTAGAGTGATTTAATTTAGATGTATAATGAGAAATCATAATGCAAAAATTATATTCACATAAGAGATACCAAACTAGGGAAATTTGGCAATTTTAATGGTATATCTTTAGTCAAGATACACAAATGGCAATGCCATAAACAAGTCTGTAATTATCTGCTGCAATCACCTTCCTCATTTTAAATGCTACCTTAGTAATCAATGCAGTTAACAAATGTGTTGGCTAAGAGTCATAAAATAAGTCATGTTCATGGATGGAGATTTTAGGTTACTGTATGGTTTGTGGGGATTGATGAAAAAATGAATGCCCAAAAAATACAGTAAGTCTCTTAGAATCCTTCATTTTTATGATAAATAATAGTACAACTCAGTCATTTTGATTGAAATCTTGGAGTCAGATGGAACAATTCCTCATGATTAGCTATTCCACTAACTTGTCTTAATGTTTATTGGGTTTTGATTTTTTTTTTTTTTTTCCCCTTAAGCCAGTCAGGTTGTTTAATGTTGAGGTAATATTCAAATTTGAGAAGTTGTTATGTAGCAATCTAAGAAACAAGTTTTTGCTGTTACCTCAATTCTTTCTATAGTGGCTCATATGGTGCCTCTATAGTTAAGAATCTGAGTTTTCCCCCCTATTTTCAGGGGTTCATGACTTGGCTGTTAGAGATGTTGCTCCTAGCTGAAGCTTGGAATAGTTGGGTGAGTGGATGTGTGTTGAATTTTGTTTTCTTTTAACTTGCACGTTGGGTGGGAGGAGAAGAAAATCTAAACTGTACAGAAAACTAATTGGAGATTTCAAATAAATTTGATTGTAGATACATTTTGAACTACCATAATACAGCCTTGTTGGAACTGTTCTTTGCAGTCTTACTAGTTTTGAGCCTATGCTTTTAAGTCCCCAGGAAGGGATTGACTGGGGGATGTACCTAAGGAGATGAAGCATCCCCAGACCCTAAGATTATAGCTTTGTGATCTAGAAACCTGGATTTATTCCTTATTTTCTTTTTAAATTTTGGAAAGAGTAAATTGGCACACCCATGGTTTGTGAAGCTGGCCCCCTCCCAGTTACTGAAATCTGATGCCAAGAGGCACCTCTTTGTTAGTTACCAAGTAGTCTGTGTGACCAAGGACTAACATTTCTAAGTTACTCACTCTAGCCTCATGGGCCTATATATTTAATACCTCCAAAGATATTTTCAGGATAGGCTTTGTATACTTTTGTTGGTTATTTGGAGTCCTGTGGTATGTTTGTGGTATAGGAATGTCATGGTAAATTGTTTTTCAATAAATATTTTAAAACTTCTGTTCCTATATGAATTTTTTTTTTTTTTTAATGTTGTTATTGTTACTATTTTTGCACATACAGTACTTCCTAAGATAAAATCAAACAAATGGTTTATGGCCTCATCTTTCCTAATTCAACTCAGCTCACACTCAGTGATAAAGCAACAAGGTATTTTGATGCCTGGAATCACAAGGTGGCAATATCAAGTGACAGCCAGTTTTTTTGGTTTTGTGTTGGTGGCATCTTTGTTGACAATTTCCCCTTAATCAGCACTGCTTTACTCTAGTTCTCTTTAAATTCATGTTCTTTGATTTAATGCAAACATTCTAGCTTGAGAAAAGAGATTCCTAGTTTCTGTTAGTGATATGACTTAATATGCTATTATTTCTGGTTCTCATGAAGAATATCCTAATAATTTTAAGTGTGGGACTTACCCTTTTAGTAAGGATGCTTGGGGTAAGTTTAGAGAGAGAGAGGGAGTTAAAAAAGATCTCAGTAAAATTACCTCACAATAACCAATAGCTTGCACAAACTTTACACAGATGATAGAGTTGTATATAGGGAAGCCTAGGCCAACTTGTCATTTTTTCTGGAGGTTCAACAAAATAATGTAAACTCGAAGACTTGGGTCTCAGCCTTCCTAGCTTTCATTTCTTTTCTCCTGCCCGGTCATTTCCCTAACATTTGGTGCTGCTCAAGTCCCGTGCATCATGGAGCTCTGTGAACACTCGCATATGCCACAGAGTCAGTCACTCCTGCAGTCAGTTTAATGAAACTCTTTGTTTTTTAGACTGTAATCTTCATGGGTCCCCAAAGCTGTGCCCAAAGCATTAGGACTCTAATACCATCAAATCTTTGTCTCTGCTTGGTTAAAAATGAACTCGCTATAGTTTTGTAAATTCCTTGCCCGGGTATGCTTTCATTTGTGAAAATGAAGGATTTGTCAAAGAGCTGTTGGGAAGAGTTCATAATTTTGTGAAATTTAAGTACAGAGGCTGCAATCTTATAAATACTGAGGGTGACGTTTAGCTGCTCCTTATAGTGCAAACAGAATGTTGGACAGAAAACACATGCCTAAAACATTATTAAAGCTTTTGGCCAAAACTAAACGTTGAAAGAATGAATTGCTGAGAAGCAATTGTAACCTGCCCTTCAGCTTTTATGCCTTCTCCCAGGATTTGTAGCCTTGCTGCTTCCGAGCTATTCTTTCTCTGGATGGCAAAGTTACTACTGGAAAGGTACTTATTTATAAATAAGTGCAACTTTTTTTAGAATTTTATTTTTGCTTAAAAAATTAACACACATTTCACCTCTTGGCTTTGGAAGTCCTCAGTTCCTGCCAGATTTTTTTTTTTTTTTTTTCAATTTGTCATCTGGATTAATCTTCAGCTTAAACACTAGTAGTGCATTTGTCCCCAAATCTCAGGAATGTTTTGGGCAGAAAACAGGTTTTACCTTGTTGGTGAACTAAGGAGTGTGCTTTAGGATTTATTAAATAATAGTATTCTTTAATTGCAATCCTAGGTATCTATAGCATGAGTGGCCTTAGTGAGTTCGTTGAAGTGCACATTTTTTCAAAAGTAAAATTTAAGATTAAAAATATATACTATATATATAGATATCTAGAAAACTTGGTCTGTGGTGCACAAGTGTTGGATCACTAAATAACTGTTGCAGGTACCATTTGTGTAACATTCATTTCTGTATATTCCTTTTATGGGAAGATATGTTGCCATGGTAACTAAAAATTTTCAATTTACTTATACTTTTATGATGTGAATGAATGCTACATTTTATTAAATATTGCCAGGTCAGTACTATTTTTATACTTTATTAAGTCACAGGGGATTTTAGGTTAATAGGCTCAAAAAGCCAAGTCTTAATGGAACAATTCAAAACAAATCACTAACAATTCTTTATGAAAATCCCCACTAATAATGCCACAGTAATTTCTATAGAAATACAAGGTCATTAATAGACTTTTGAAAACAGTTCTTTGTTTCAGAATGACCTTTCATATCACTCTCACCTATTTGTAGTGCCCACCGTTATTTGTAACCATTAAATCATATTAAGTATGTTTGTAACCAGCATTGTGATATATTCTGTACTTGTATTGCTAAAAATGAATTATTGACCTAATAAATATAGTGTTCCTGCATTTATAGTCTATCTCTTTTCAATTTACTTGTGATTGCTTTTGGTGGGGGTAGGGGCTATTTAAACTTAAAAACCAAAAAACCAAACTCACTGCCATTGAGTCAGGTCCAACTCATAGCAACCCCTCCTTGGATTTCTAAAGCCTTATCACCATTTAAGTAAATTGCCTAGTCTTCCTTCTGAGGAGTGGCTGGTGGGTTTGAACCGCCAGCCTTCTGGTTAGCAGTCAGATGCCTTAAGACTTACTAGAGAACAGTGTGAGAGCAACTGTTGGAACTAGAACAAAAGTCTTGTTTTGAAAAGTAAAAGATGTGGCAGAGGAGGTACATAATAACAGCATTGGGAGATGGTGCTCATGGAAGTAATTTGGAAAAGAAAGAGCACTATATTAATTTAGTCTTGAGCCCATTCTTTTCCCTAGCCATCAGTTCTAAAGCTGAAGATAGAGTTCTGGGAGTAGTGGAAAACATTACATTTGGCTTGCAGTTCCAGCTCTGTCTCTGTTGAGAATTTGAGATAAATCATTTGAACCCCCAGCCTTCTAGTTAGCAGTGAAATGCCTTAGGCACTGTACTCTCTCCCTCACATTGTATTCTGACCTGTTGGTTTCTGCTTTCAGCGGCTCTGACTCTGATCTTTCATTATCTGGGTTGGCAGGTTTCCTGGAAGCCTGGCAGGTCTTCTTTTTGACTAAAGCTCCCTTCCTCATTAATGACGGGGTCAAATTA